TTCAGCTGCTCTCGAGTTTGCACCACATTTATTCGCAAATTTTCATTAGCTTGCTAGACTCACTATTTATTTGATATTATCTTTTTAAATTTGGACAGTGTGAACAGCTTGACAACTATACTATTGGTAGCATTACTGCACATACAACCTCAACTATCGCAGTGACACATTAGATGTTCCACTTCTAGAACTACTCCCTTTCCTCATGCACCGTCCTCTGCACCTCAGTGAATAATACCACTCCCTAAACCTCAATTTCCGAACCGTTACAGTTTTATGAATTGGAATTTTCTCCTCTTTCATAGCCCAGTACACTACTATGACTAGACGACTGTATAACGAACCTGAAACGAATAATATAAAAAAGATGAATATGAATCAATATGCAATATACTAACCATTACAAAGTGTTCTGTATGTGACATATATCACTCATCATCTGCATGCTCTGTATCTGGTGACGGTGGATATCTTGCTCTTAGCACACGTATTGCTCATTATATGTATAGCATTCAATCAAAATAAATTCTACATCTTTGCATCGCTTCGGATACAACCGATAGCGTGAACACAACCCAATAGCATTAATCGAATTAAATACGTACGTGTCAACTGGAGAACAATTCTCAGACATTTAGCAATTAGGATTAGCAGTCTAATTATTACAGCTATAAGAATCATTAGAGGAGATGCTCTATCGATACAAAAATATGACGGCACAAAAATACGCAGAAGAATTTAAGTGCAGAATGAGAAAGTAGAACGAAGACATACAGTAGGGAAGGAAGGAAATAAATGAAAAGAGTGAAAAACAACAACGAGCATACTAAATTAAACTATAATTAATTTATTCTACAACAATGATATAACAATATTTGTGCATACAATTGCATACGTGCTCACAAAAACTACTTCTTCTGATCGGCGATATTCCGGCAAACTATCGAGATTCAACTAGGAGCCAATTCAAAAGAATGCTTCATTAGAGCAAATATGTACCGGGGACTGGCTTCAACAGTGGAGTTTCACCTCTATCTATCAAACTGACGTGCCATTTCAATCGAGTTTCATCCCTCCTGTATCCACATTCAATGACCTAGGCTTTGAATGCATGAAATGCACCGGATGAACGCGATGAAACGTCATTTTAGAAACTTGTAATATATTCTTCGATTCGAAACAATCCTTAGAGATCAGTCATTCAATCGAGCCTACTCAATCCAATACCTTCATTAGGGTCATACGAAAATGCAACTTCAGATCCACGCTAAAACTGCAGTAATGATCCGGTGATCATATTCGAATTTGCACTAAATTCCATGATCACAAAACTCTGAACCATTTGCCGCACCACTGCAATTGTGCACAAACACATACACGCTTTGTGTTTTGTTGTTTAATGATGACAATAAAAGAGTAATAAACAATAAAAACAATCAATTCAATGGAAACTCAAACAAAATGAAATACCAAATGATCGGAGACAATAAAATAGGAATTGAAGCCCAACAAAAACAGCAACAATTACAACAAGTATAATAATTGATTGGAAAATATATGATAACAATAATAGTAATATTAATGATAATAACGGTAACAATGTATAAATAAATACTTTCTCTTTGCAATCATTAATTTATAAACTCAAAATTAACAACTTTCCACTCCGATAGCGATTGGATTGCTTCCGTTAGGTATGCTACTCTTTCCCAATTATTCCAACCATATATAGATGATTGATTCCACTTGAGAAGCCGGTTTGTTGCATTCAGAAACGAAGTAGTTTACGAACGAGACAGACGAAGAAATATTTTGAAGGATTCAGTAGGTGATTGCCTTACCGAGTAACAAATAAGTAGGCAAATGAATGCGTAAATGAATTAAGAAATAAAACTGAAAAGTAAATTTGCTGTTCAGAAAAATAAATCAAGTTTCTGAAACAAAATAAGTTTGCTGAATTTTGAAAGAAAAAATTATACGCGCCTCGTGAACAAATGCTGTTAATTTTTGGTACAACAGTACACACGTACAACAGCATACACACACAATGCTCTCCTCTTTGCCACTCCGAAATCCATGTCAAGTTGTCGTTGAAGAAGGTGCTTCTGGAGGGAGTGGTGGCGTTATTTTCATAGAACTACTATCGAGTAACTCTTTGGCACCACTGCCACTGCCAGCTGATGAGGAGCGATTCAGTGACGATGAATGTTTACGGGATGAGGATGGCAAAGGGACTGGACTGGGACCAGCCGGTAACGAACGACGATCCACAGAAACTGGACTCGTCTTCTGACTGCTCGATTCACTGACATTCCGAGATGATCGAGAACCTGAAAGAAAACGAATTCAT